GCCTCGCCTCCTGCGGTAGAACTTCATCGGGNNNGGGCACTGTACACACGCCTGCCAGGGAACCCCACAAACCAGAAAAGAGCTGTCTTATTTTCCCTCTGACTCGAACCGTTGCCCTTCAGCGCGGTCGCCGCCGACAACCGAAGGACACACAAGAGAGGCAACACACAACAGGAAAGGATAGAAACACATACCTTGTCCGCCTTGCGCCTCCTCTGTTTCGTGTTGGATCGGTTCTGCTGTCCAGTAGCAGAGCCAGCACCATCCCCACCCACCGCACCATTCCCCGCGCAGGGAAAACCCACTGCCCCTCCTCCCACGCCGTTGGGAGTCCCGGTAGTTCCGTCGGCGGCGGCGGTGCCCGAACCGTTGGCGCTCGCAGCAGCGGCAGCGGCGGCCTCGCTCTCCTCCTTCCGTTGTTGCTGCTTTTCCGCCAAAGCCTGCCAGGATGGCTCGTACCTGATGAAAGTGGGGATAGGGAAGGACGAGAACGATCGTTTTTTCTCATGTTGCTGATGTTTTCGTTGTTCGTCTGACGCGGGGAGGAGGGGGGGGGGGGCTGATGCTTTTGTTGCTGCTGCTGTTGTCATCGTGCACTGTGTTGAGAAGTGAAGGCTTGCGACGAAACAAATACGCGCGACACAGTACCTTAGGCACAACATAGCATTAGCTCGCCGCGTTCACCGGTTGAAGATTGAATCGCATTCCTCGGGGGGTCGGGGAATAGTTCCTTCTTGCCGAAGACAATGTGCGGAACAACAAGGTCGTCCGGAAACTAGACGAGCGATCGCGGTACCAGTGCCCCTCCTCACTGCCCTCCCCAGTCATGGATGGTTCGGAGGTACGGTCGGCGGGAGTGCTTACGGTTTCCAACACCAAGACGGCCAGCTACAGCACGACCACAGTTCACCTCAAAAAATCATCGCAAACAGAACAATTTTGCCAAGAACACAGTTCTACTATTCACTGGTGTGCCCCCCGATCAAGGAAGACGTTGTATCGCAAATAGACAGCAGCACACACACACACACACACACACACACACACACACACACACACACACACACACACACACACACACACACACACACACACACACACACACACACACACACACACACACACACACACACACACACACACANACAAGCCGGATCAACGGTCCGATGCACTGGTTAAAACCTGCGACGACGGGTATAATAGTACACCACGTAAACACTTATCTCCGTACTTCCATAGAAAACACAGGCAAAACTGCCGCACACTCTAGAACCCACAATCTTGGTGTCGTTTGGGAGGCCCGCCGGTGGTCGACTCCCGGTTCTACCCTCCCTAAGGCCTTCTCCGAGCTAACACCTCACACCAGAACACAATACCTCAAACAAGAACACAACCGGCCGACCACTCTACTCGTGGAAATAAAGGAGGCTCCGCAGTGCACCCGTGGGTGCAATGCCCCACACCCCTACCAGTCCAAACTCGAGAGAGGCGAAGGGGAGGGCGGCAGTGCGCATCCCATCCCCGCATGCATGCACTCCGGGAGCCAGCCCCCTTGCCCACTACCACGGCATGCGACTCCCCGTCTCCACACTCGCTCAAAAGCAAAAGAAAAAGGTCAAACCGCCCCGCAAGCACAGAAAAATCGCACGATTTAGTGCACCACCCACCTTCACACCGCGTTGGTTGGGGGGGCAGTTCGCCGGGTGCGTGAGGGGGATCGGAACTTTGTCCGCCCCACTGCCGTCCGGGCGGTGCTTGAGGTAGTAGGGGGGAAGCACGGAGCCGTACTGGGAGAGGTAGGTGTCCAGGTAGCGGGCGTTAAGCTCGGACGACGAGTGGCGACGGTAGAACAGCTTCTGTTTGTTTTTTCCGTGGCGGCAGGGTGATGGTGGTGCAGTTGAAGGCGCGGTCGGGTAAACGTGTGTTGGGCGAAAGGAAAAAAAGAGGCAGAAAACCGGGCATCCGGTGGGGGACAGGGTCAATAATCGTGTAGAAACGACACGTGGGCACTTGGACATTCTGGGGGGGGCGGTAAGCAACGTTTCTTGTGTTGGCGTTCACTAGAAAGCACCTTTCGACGCGACGGTGGGAACGGGGCAAGGCTTGAGAACGTTCTAACGACTGTCCCCCATCCCACCGTCACGTCGCAAGCTGAGCGTTCTTCTGGGAAAGCAACAAGACACGGGGAAGCAGCTCCTGCTGAGGAAATCCGCACCCCACACCAGCGGCCCGACGCCAATCTTGCTTCATTGTTTGTTTTCCGGCCTTTGTCTCCCTCGGCATGGACTAGGCCTGTCCTCCATCGGCCGTTTTGCTTGTATGACGGAGAATAAGCAGGTGGAATTACTTGAAATTAGTATAGAAATAAAGCTTGTGTATCTAAATCGAAAATAAAATGGCCGATGGAGGACAGGCCTAGCATGGACACGAAACTCTAACCCGGGCCACCGTTCAAAGGACCAAGCAGCGAGGACACCGTCCGGTTCGGTTCAGCCGTGTTCGAGCACGTCTGCCGATGCAAAGGACCAAGAAATCTGGCCTGACAGAGTGGCTGTAGAGAGAATTCAGAGCGGGCAGACTGCCTTGTCAGTGCTTCCCACTGCGCGGGTTTGCCTTGTCGACCGCTCGTCCATCTCAATTTGTCGGGACATTAGCCCCAGAATCTAGTGAAACTTGCGGGTACTGCAAGCAAGTGTTCGCATGACCCCATCTTCACTAGAATGTGAGGAGCAGTCGGGCACCGCGTAGAGACAGCATGAGACGGACAGACACACTCTTAACGCTAAAGAGCCGCGTTGCTACATCGAGAGGTAGCTGCCTGAAGGGCAACGGGGAACTGTTTCTCACCGAGTCGCTGATCTCTTCCCACGCCCCGAGGCCCATCTTCTTCACCTGGTCCATGAGAGATAGCTCCTCTGCCGCGGTCCAGTCCTCTGAAACCAAGTAAAAAAAAAAAAAGTATGGTCCCCTGGCTGTGTTGTCTAGGCGCTGGAATGGTGTTTTGAGGCGTTTTTACCCACTTCAGCCTAGGTAACTAAAAACCTTCCAAAAAAAAAAAGCCTTGGGAAAATGACTGCTGCCACCGCTGCTACGGCAACGACCCGTTGCTGAATGTCAACGCGCCCATAGCAGCGGTCGGCGACGGGGGGGGAGGGGGGGGGGCACCGCAATATCAACTGGCCTTGGGTTCGAGGGAGTGGTGGCTTCGCTCACCCGTGAAAATTGGCTTGTCGAGCTTGTCCATGACCCTGTAGCTGTGCGTCTTCTTGTGGCCGAGGGGTTCCATGCCGGCGAAGAAGCAGGCCGCGCAAAGGTCTACCTCCTGCTTGCACTCCTCGCACCGAATGTAGCACAGCTGTAGTAGGACAGACACAACCATATGGCCACATTGATTCCACATGTTGAATTGTTACACGTTAGGTCGCGCGTGCCACGCACCAAACGGCGAGGAAGTCGTTGCCAAACGAAAAAAAATTGCAGGGGACAAGACGAAGAGATAGTGGCGTGCGGCCGGGGGGGGTGAGGTGTGGACGCAAACGAGGAGAGTGAAGTAGGTGCTCCGCACGAGGTGCTCCGCGCGGAGCAGCTGAAACGGAGACAGAGGTGGTCGAGTTTCACCAATGCTGTTGGCAATGCCCCCACCCACGATTGGACGTGGTAGGGCGATCGATCATATGCAGACGAGGCGTGCCATCGCCACCACCCTACACACGCGCACGTATTACATTTGCCGGACCCTTTCCATAGGCTGTACCAGCTTCGCGCCTTATCCGGGTACTGCTGTTGCACGGAAAGAAAATTCGGGTCATCTGTATAGTTTGGAAAAGTTTGTAATCGTTCCCCGCTCTCCACATCAATTTTCTAAATCCACTCAGTGTCTACGAGTGTGCTTCAACGTGTGTTGCCCCATTTACAAGTTAAAGTTTAGTGTGAGAGGCGTGAGAGTATTTCAAAAAAAGAAAATGACAAGAGAATGTGCTTCTTCGAAGCTTTTCTGGACAGCTGCAATTATTCATGTGTGTTGCCTTTACGAGTAAAGATACAACCCAAAATATACCCAGAGTGTACTGGACCTATCGACCTTAGACTATCGCTTTAAACTCTCCGGGGCCTCTCTCTGCCTCTCTTTCAACCCATTTGCTCACCTATCCATAGATATATCACTGCAGCTGGGGTGTCCGTGCTGTCTCTCACGCGACACTGAAATGCACTGCAGTTCTCAATTACCAATTGCTCACCCCTGTGATGTCTTTGCTGCACGAATCGCACGTGTGGTTGGAAAGGTCAGCGTTGGGTAGCATGTTGATCGCCGCTCTCCTGTCCTTCTCGCTGCCCGCACGCTCGCCCCCCCCCCCCTGCGGTCCCACGTTTACGTCCATCGCTCCTTGTCCATTGCTATGGACGTTTATGTTCATGACTACAAGAACAACACGACGATGCTTGGCTCCTTTGTCAGCAAAAACCCTATGAAGTGCGTCTTGGTTCTACCGCACGGGTAGATAGATGCTGGATGAAGTCACGCCTCCTGGTTACGGGGGAAACTGTGCGGATCTGTGGCCGCTCTCGTCTGCTCTATCGTCGCGTTGGCCGGTTCTTGCTGTCGCAACAGCAACTCCTCGTGTCGGGGCCCACATACGGACAGGGGATCGACTAACGGCTCGCGTGCGGGGGGACTGTTGTTGATCCACTGCGCCCCTTTGCAAGATGTGCAACAAACAACTTTGCAGGACCGCGCTGCTCGCACACCCTGCTCTGCCGTGCATGTTGCACGTACTGCCGTGTTTCTCGGCAGGGATTTCGGGGACAGCACAGCGGCACTTGTCATATTCCCGCCTCTCATCTCCAGTCTTCAGCCGCAACTCAAAAGAGGGCCAGGGAATGATTCCGTAAATGCAGACGGGGATCTCAATCTGTTGCTGGTTGAAGTGTGCACTGAAATCGCTCCGCTGATCGTTGATCGGGCGTGTACGTCGACCGCCGCGGCCGCAGCTCGACTAGGGATGCCTGCTGCTTCTGATGTTGAAAATGCTGGCGACTACTTCGAGGTGAAGCAAGGGTCCTCTGAGTTGAGGAAGCTGGCTTTCACGGTCGAAGATGGTGAGCTAAATGTCTTGGTACGTTTCAGAGATCGCTGTTCGCGGAATTGCCTAACGGTATTTGAGTCCATGCGTCTACAGCAGTCTACTGCTGTAGCACACCATCATGCACAAGTATCTCCCTCTTCCTCTGAAACCGCCGTGGCATCTATGGCGAACCCTGTGTTGGGTTCGCATGCGAATGGTTGTTATTCAGGAGTGTTCTTTCGATTTTCGGTGCGATCGGTTGCTGTCCTGTCTGCCTATCTCACAGCTGCCTTGATGCAACGGAAGGTAGGTATCACCCCCATTACACGAAGCCAACCATTATATGCATAGTCTAGTCTCGATGGCAATGTAACGGTGTCATGGCATCACAATTGTTCTCTGAAAGCACCAGATTATGTGTTTCACCGTCTAACATAGGAAGTTTTCTTCAATCCCCACGCAGGCCTGTGTGCGGGTGGCTATGTACAGTAAGTAGGTCAGCGCGAAATACACAGACGGAGAACACGTCGCACGAAGATACAGCTTCGTTGATTCCTCGCCGAAAAAATAGAGTGGAACGTATGCTGCGTATGCCATATTTTCTCGAGTCAGCTTGGGATTAAACATTTTCCCCACTACAGAAAACCAGCCTACGAAAGGCGCACACACTACTGCTATTACTACTTCATGTATGCATACAACATCGTGAACGAGGCAGCGACAACTGCCGCGTATCTGGTCGCTCACTTGAACTGGCCTTTCGAAACAACGAAAAATCATTTCCAAGTGACCAGTTCCGCAACAACATCCACGCCACGAGGTCAATCTATGCAAGCCGCGGCGCATCCATCCTTTCTCCAGAACCATGGAGTCTTCGAAGACTCCAACAGCAACAACAAGGACTTTTTTCGACTACGTTCCCCTTGCACGTTCGTTACCTACACAGCGAGCTACAGCTGTCCGGATGGCCCTTCGTCGAGCCTTGAGGAGACGGGCAGAACGAGCTGTTGGAAAGGGGGCGCAGGGGAAAACGGCTGGGTGCTTCTGAGGCTGTGAGTCCTATTTTTGCGTGCTCCGTTGCAACGCGGCCATGGCATTGCCTCGGGTGTAGTCATCTTTTTCCAGCACAATGATGGAGGGATGTGGCACAAATATGAACCCCAAGACCAAGATCACCTCCGACAATTGATTGAAATCACTTGCATGTCTTCCCCAAAACCAAACGTCGAAGATAATTATCAAGTCCTAATTTGAACAAGCGGGCAACCAATGTAGGCTGAGGGTGCTTGCTATTGTGGCGATGTTGCTCTGCTGTACGGCGCGCTGCCCGAGGCGGTGGCGAAACCGCGTCCCGTTCAGGTAATCCATCCATCGGTCTTGAAAACGGTGAAACGGCCGGTGAACCGGCGGTAGTGTCCCCACCACGTACGTTGAATCGACAGTAAGCGGCCAGCAGACCAATAGAGGATGGAGTTGCGTGTCGCACCAGCACCCCCTCCCTCCCCGCGAGTACCCAACAATATGCCCCTTTGGCCCCGTTATATCAGGCATGAAAAGGCGTTGCTATCGTTTTTGAGGGTTCGCAACCGATCCACTTCGGAGATCTCCATATCGATCTCCGTCCGGGGGAAACGACGGAGAGACTTTGTTGAGGGTGAGTTAAGCTCTTGTGGCCATTGCTGCTGCTGCTGTTGCTGCTTCAAGTTTGTCTCCCGCGCTGGTTGCTGGTTGCTTGGAACAGCCTTTTGAAGCATTCGGGGGAAGGGTTGCAGAGAGGGGAGATGTCGAGTCTATCCTGATTCGCCCCCGGTAGATGTAGCTTCACTCACACAGTACTTCGCTTTTAGCGGTACAGAAACTCGTTTTCCCGCTCGCGCCCCCTTGCGTTTGTCTAGTTTTGAAGCCTATCCCAACACCAGAGTTCCGCTATATTGGTTGCCGCACTTCTTGCGAGTGGTTCAAGTCTTGATGATGGCGCAGTAAAGCGACAAATCCGACCGCCCCTCCTCCAGACCGTGTAAAACGGGCGACGACGGTTACAAACAGCGTTTTTCGAGATCGAGATCCTTTCGGCCCTCTCTGTTGTTGACACCACTCTTTTCGCCCCATCGGGTGTGCGGTGGTATTGTTTTTTGTGATGGGTGATGGTGGTGTTTTGCAGTGAAGCGAGGGGTGGGACTGGCGCACGGCACCCGTACGGACGTGAAGATCGGACACCTTCCCTGCGTCTACGTTCGGGTGGAGTGCCGCCGAAGGAAGACGGGTTCCGGCGGCGTTTCCTTATACGAGTGAGGCGACCCGAATACATGCTCGCTGTACTATTCCCGCCATACGGGAACCGGTTCAATTGGACTTGGACGTGCTGCTTGCATGGTTAACTACTGCTTCATTGGTTCGGTAGCTTTGTTGTCGCCCTCGTTGTCTATTGTTGTCGTCCTTAATTTCTCTGTGTGCGAATGCGTTCGCGCACTGTTGGTTCCGTATGTGCTTCACGGCAAGAAACAACGAACGACGGGCCAGCAGCGGGCGGGAGACCGACTGACGACAAGAAGCATTCACACGTACAGAGCACGTCCTCGTGTGACGACCTACGCTGATGACACCCGGTTTTATTTTTCCTTGGAAGAGGAGTGGATGGGACGTACTGGAGGGAGGCCAGATCAATTATGTCATGTCATCACGAACAAGTACACTGACTCGGCGCGACGAGTTGGATTCGCAAGGCTTTGATCGATCCAAGCCGATTTAAGTGTCTCTCATGTTTGCCTTGCTTTCCTGCAGGCTTGTACCGGTGGGAGTCCCAGCCAGGTGCGTGGGGCTGTTTATGGGACCGTGCATGGAAGACCTGATGTACAAGAGGTGAGACGAGCTACTTGATGTAGTCGACAGGAGGTGAAAAACATCGTGTCACGACCTCAACGATACCCGAATCACTTTCGACCGGCACGCTGCAAGCCATATCCCCACGAAAAGAGACGTCGAGACTTCGGTTGTTCCCGTCGCACCACCATACCCCTTTTTTATTGAGCCTGTCGCTGAAGACACGCCTCGTTTCACCCAGGCCCTACGCCACAACGCCACTATCCTGGAATGGACGGCTTTTTCCGGTCTTCGACGAACCTGTCGCAGCGCGGAGCGTCTCTTGTTCGGGGCGGTCGCTCAAGACACGACTTCCGTTGGAAGCTCCCAAAAGCCGAGATGTAACTGCACCCCCGAAATGTGGCACGTGCCTATGCCTAATCTTCCAGACGCGGCCCGAACTCGCGTTTACCGAGTGCCAGGGCCAACATTTTGAGGACTACTTTGCGTACGTGACGATGAGCACGCCGTACTCCCACCCAACCCCTACTCTTCGCGCCACAAAACGCCTCAATCTCACAGCCAAATACCTGGCAACAACCTCGAACCAAAGCCCCCCCCAAGACAAGGGCAATCGACCTTCAGCTAATATTTGCGTGCCCCCCCCTTCCCTCCTATCGCAGCACGGAGCGCCTCTTGTTCGGCCCATCGCTGAGGACGAGCCACGACCCTGTCTGCCACCGCGCTGTGCTAGAGCGACTGATATTGCCGCCGTCCTTCCTCCGGCCCGCGGGGGGTGCCGTGAATCCCTACGACCCCGACCCCGTCAGAAAGGGTCCCACCAGCACCGGCGGCGGCGCTTCGCACGCGCTGTTGCACACTCACCGGCTGCTGTCGCCGACACCGTCGCCGGGGTTAGCGCCGAGAGGGGAAGGCCTCCGTAGTCCTCATCTTCCACCATTTCCGGATGCCGCAGCAAGCGCCGCCGCTGCCGGTGCTACTTCTGGGGTACATTTTTTTCGCGGCGGGAGAAAAGACGAGCTTCCGATTGATGTCGGGCGGAGGCAAGGCCATGGGGGTGTAGTCTCGTTTGACGAGGGTTCCTCTCCTGCTGCGCACCCGTATCCCCCCCGCGAGGAAGAAAACAGCGCCGGCGCCGGCAGCAACAGTAGCGCCGGAGTCGGTCGGAGAGGTGGCGTACCCCTTCCCTACCAGGGTATGGCAGCACGGGCCTCCCATGATCCCTTTGGACACCTTACCCATGGACCGGTTGCCAACGCCGCCGGTGTTGCTGGCACTCCTGCTGATCGCAACGCTGATCCCGGAAGGGAAAATGAAACTGAAGGGCGTTTGACCGCTCCTCCGCTAGAGCAACAGCCCGAGCCCCGACATGCGTACAACAGTAGCGGTAACGGGGGAGGTCATTTCTTTGGGGCGAGGACGGGCGCCGGTGATCGCCGACCGTCGGGTGGTTCCGTCGCATCCGCGCGTCCCTTTCCGGTGCATCGGTGGGGCGTCGAAGAAAGGGACGAAGGCGGAGCGGGTGTAGACAGTAGTGGCAATCTCGACGGCTTGAGAAGACCAAAGGGCATCGAGAATAAAGAGAGGCGGAAAGATAGCTTTGGTCCTGATTTTGGCTACGACGAAGCGAGGGCGGGAGGGAGGAACAGCAGTCCCTACCCTCTCGGGAGTCATTCGTCGGAGGAGGAGGAGGAGGAGGAGGAGGGAGACAGCTTATCGGACTACGCAGGGTATTTCAGGGGGAATCACAGCAGGGACAATGCTGGGATTTCTTCTGGCGGGAGCGAACGGGGTGGTGTCCTGAGTGGACCGCATCGCCATGCAGCCGTGGCGTAGTAGGATCCATCTGGTGCTTTATGAGAATACAAACCCGTATCCAGATGTTGGGTAATGTTTCTGAGTTGTGGCGGGTGGGACTGGGGGATGTATGGATGGAAGATCGATACCACTGAAAGCACGTGCGTTTAGGGGGTGAGTACGGCGGAGCACTACTCCCAGCGTAGAAGAGTCGTACACAACAAGCTTGAACAATCGGCAAGTAAACCCGTACCTGTGTGAGAGGGGTTGGCGGAATGCGGCCGGCATTCTTGCTGCCCTATCTGCATTTTATATTGTTATTTTATAGCTTGCGTTGACGCTGTGTGTTGTTGGTTGCCTGCTGCTTTCATCCATTGCGGCCGCGCCTTATCGAGGAATATCTACGCACGCGAACCATAAACTCGTTTCCCCCTCGAGCGAGACTTCGTGCAGTCGGCTCGGAGAAAAATATCCTCTCTGGTTACCTTGCTGACCGCCTGCCTCATTGCCTGGTGGGTACTACGGTAGGGGGTGGTGGTTCAGTGTTGCGCGGTGAGGGTATCGAATCTTCTGAAGGATTCGCAAGGACCTTGGATTTTGGCGTTGAGCACTGCCTTTCCCCCAAACCGGTGCGTGGGCCCAACACCGAGTTAGGTGTGCCCGTCGGGTCACCTTGTGTACTTGCCTTTTTGACGAATGTTGACCGAGCGCTTGGTACTTCCTACTCTGGATTTTAGTCCTGTCGACCTGACGGTCACTTGGGGTTGTTCATCACACGTCGGCGATTGGATTGGCAACGGCCGGACCGTTCAGTCACAACCGGGCCGTTCACGGCCGGCCATGTCCATGTGGGTAGAGATGAGCAACAAGTAGGATTCTGTGCATGCGTTTTGACATTTATTGTACCAGCGTTGTTAACCATCGAGAGAACTCTGAACCTGTGTTTTGACGTTTTTGTGGTTAATTTAACCAGTTTGTGAACTGATTTAATCAACAGGACATGTATTGTCGTTGGCACTCTCGGGAGAGACCCATCTTTAGACGCCCTCGCCCTCGTGCTGCGTCTGCTCCATCAGACCATTTGTTAAGAAGCAAGATGACCACTTAGACTAGACCATGAGTTCGCGCTGACTAGTGGTCTAGAGGTCATCGTGCTTCTAACAATTGGCATGCCAACAGCCGTGTCACGGGCTGATCTCGCCAAGCAGGTAGACTATGTTGCCTGTCTGTTTTTTTCGCACCCAAAATTATCGTGACTGCAGGCAAGCAAGTACACAGCGAGCCGTCTGCCTGCCGAGATCCTTCTCCATCTGCCAATAAATCCGTCTCCATCACGGCATCCGCCACGAAGTCAGCCTCGACCTCGACGAAACACCGCACTCTAGACCCCCCTCCGCTGCCCTTCGGTCTGTGGTTTCGTCGTTGTCCCACTTCCCCACACCAAGAGCGGGAAGCCGACAACACAGAGAGTGGCGATGTGCCTATTTCTTCTAGCAACCGCACTCTCAACGCCCGGCCGAGAGGGTCAGCAGAGCATTCTGAGAGCTCTGGGAGAGGGAAGCAAATGAGGCTCGCTACACATCACATGCATGGTAATCTTTCTCGCCTGTGGTCAACCCACCGCTGGCTGCCGAAGCTACGTAGCTTCCGTTGGAAACAGGTTTTCTGCCGAGGCCTGCATCTTCAACCCGCAGGATCGGGCTCTGGCACATAAGAGAGGACGGCCATGTTGTGCTGCGATGGTTGGGTCTTGGGCGCGCAGCGCGATCTAAGGGCACTTTGGTGGAGGATTATTTTGGTGGTCTGGGGGGGTGGGAGCAAGTGGGAGCGGGGAAAAGGTGAGGAAGTCGTGTGCGGGTGGATTTTTTTTTTTTTTTGGAGGCATCCATCAACCGCCGTGGGAAACGGTAAAAATAAGGTTCACCACCGTCTTGTCTTTGCATGTGTTGGTGAAAAGGAGGACCCGGTTCGCAGGGTATCCGTCGATTGACTTTTACCAGAATCGGTGCGCCTTCGCAACAGTGTCGTTACAAAAAAACTGTTCTTGCGTCACGATGGGGCATCTGTTTCTGGATTTTTGATGACGCTTGCACGTTCCAAGTTTTTTTTCACGGTGTACACTGAATCCGTTAGGAAAGATTTGATGGTGCGCAACTCTGATGTAGCAACATAATTTGAGGTGTTTCCCACTTTTTCGGTGCTTGAAACCAGGGTGAAGAAATTGAGTGTAGATTTGCCTCAGTGGTGGAAGTGAGTAGCGCTTTATTCACTGTACGTATGGATTGAAGTGGAAGCATTGGTATTGCTTTGTGATCTACTGCGTGATCTACAGCGGAAGGGGGTATTTTTTGTCTGGTTACAGTGCAATATGGGTGGAGTAGCCAGGGGTTACGAATGTTTGTTGTCGACGCAAACACGATATTTTGCACATTTCGGAAACAGCGACGGCGGGACCCCGGCGCCTCGCGCACTACACCCCGCGGCGTAACCTTGGCCCGCGCACGGGTACCGGTTGTGGAAAATGTTGGGCGCCTACACTAACATTTCCACACAACAACGGTTCAAAAAGCACGTTCAGAACGCTCACAATAATATCTGCACGGTGAGAAAGAATGGCTGGTCCAGCTTCAAATAGGGTGAAGGGGCACGTGGTCAGAGATGAGCTCTGTCGTCGCCTTGGAGCTGTTGCAGAGGTCCTCTCGCTTTCAGGCTCGATCGACATGCTGCAAACGAGATCATTGAAGTCAAGCACTATCGGTCGTGGAAGGCTGGAGTGGGGCAAGTGATGTCTTATGGCACCCACTACCCTTCGCATGAGAAACCCCTTCACCTTTTTGCACAAAAGGGGGACAAGCGAGCCTCGAAGTATGTCGAGATGGCCAGAATCGTGTGTTCCCCATGCGACATTCGCGTTACATTCGAAGAGGTGGTACCGACAACCCTTCGAGTCGAGAAGGAACTCCAGCATGAGACGAACTGCCCCCGGTTGCCTGAGGTGAAACGAAAAAGAGCTCAACTCGAGGCTGGTGGGGCTGTCGACGCACCCGGGGTTGTCACTGAACTCGCGGCTGGCGGTACTACTGCAGCTGGAGCGGGCCCTGGATACACGACTGCTTCCGGTGTTGGGCGTGTACCTGCTCTATCCGCTGATGCCAACACGCCTGCGACTCCCGGTGCCGCCGTGAAAAAGCGTGGCCAGGGCGAGCCGGTGAAAAACAAGCCCAAGGTGAGAGTGCTTGGATCCGTATCAGAGCGCAGCTTCAATATCTCATTACACATTGCTTCAAGCGTGTAGAAACTTTCAAAGACTCACGCATTTTTTTTCTGTGCTCGCAACGTTGATGACTCGATCACAGGCGCCTCGGACTACCACCCAAGATAAACGCGAAGGGTTGCAGGAGATGCTAACAGCCATTGGTGAAGCCTTCCAGAGGGCCAAAGCCAGGGGCACGAGCGACGGTGTAAACCATTACATGACTTTGCCCAAGAGCCGCTCGATGCTGCCTGTGGTTAGGCACCTTCAGAAGAATGACGAAGACTACCACCCGGGCACCTCGTTCACTGGAAGCAAGTGGTTCAAGAGCGAGTATGCACAAGGCTTCAAAGAGCTGGTCAAGTTGGTACAGACGCAAGTGGACGGCTTTAGGTGGGAGTCGTGGTACCATGTGTAGGTTGAGGGTTTGGCGCTGCTCAACTTTTTCTCGAAAGGATGAGATTGTCACCTACGCACCCGCTGCCTACTTGGAACCAGGCTGTGCGTTCACCGGCGTGGTGTTTTGTGGCTGCGAATGATGATTGTCGAAGCTGCAGAATAATGAAACACGATATTTATTTTGCGCGACACTCGCAAACAGCGACGGCGGGAACTGCCGGCGCCTCGCACACAGGTACCCGAAACATACGTAGACCAAGTTTACAACGCAATTAAAGAACACCCACAACAACGTCTCGTGCAGATAGCTCTCTCGTACCTATTGTCGTGCATACAACCATCTCCGTGGCGTTAATCCTGGCTCCTTCAGCGCTCAGAAGAAACAGCAGGGCGCTTGCACTCTTGCTCGGACTTTTCTTCTGCTTCACGCGCCCTTTTCGCACCAGAAACACCGGCGATCTCTTCGAAAGTTACCCGCACCGCATGCAGATCATACACACAGCCTTGGCCAAATCAAAATCCATGCTTGTACCGGCTTCTCCTCCGTGTGCAAAAAGGTGGAGACGCTTGGCCAGACGGGGATAAAACAGATGGTAATCAAGCACCTGACCAAGCGCGTGCTTCCACTTCTTGTTGTACTTCATTTCAATCACCTCCGTTTTGCTGAGTACATCGATGATACCCACGGGTGTTTCTACTTCGGTCTGTCCGTCGACTGTCTCCGCCGATTTACGACGTAACTTTTCCGAGGTAAGCCCGGGCAACTTCCAGACCATCTCCACGAGAGTCCTCAAGTCCGCCAAAGGTGTTTTTCTTCCACCCCCGTTGATGCGAATGTACGTCATACGGGACCTGATGGATGGCGTACAGCCAACTAGAGCGAAAAGGCGACCTAGGGCGGTACATGATCCACTAGAATCGGTGTTAAGGACGAGTCGAATCACGTCTAGCGAACTAGGTTTTCCAGAAACTTTGTCGATACGCACGTCTTCGAAGACAGTATTGATATCGGAGAGTGCTTCGCGAACAACGGATGTCTTTGTTCCAAGCTCGGGCTGCATGTTATTAGAAAAATTGGAAATGTTGGCCGCGAAGAGAAGTGACACTCGTGTGCTTCCGTTTGTGTTTCAATGTTTTTTGTCATTATTTTGTGTCAACGCGTTCATTTGGCATCGCAAATAATGTTTGGAGACTTCAATTGAAGCAACCATGGACCTCCAGCGCCACACATACAACCAACAGACGATGAACCTCTAGACCTCAGACGCGTCTCGCTTTCCCACGGTTTTAAGTCCGGCTACTAGACTACCCCAACTACAGGCAAAGGCGCATATTCTCCAGTCATCACCCCTCCAATACGCCCGTCCGATTTCCAGATGGCCGAGCTTGCCAAAAATACGACAACACATGGCCGATGCCCACGTAGCAAGGTGTTCATGACGGACGAACGAGCAAACGAACAACACGGCACCAAAGAAAACGTCAACACCACGTACTGCAGAACATTGGCTCCAAGGAATCCAAGCGGAAGGAGGCTACTACCTCCCTCCCCCCCGCCCTGTCCGTCCCAGCTTCTTGAACTCGAAGAGTCGCCGGGTCCGGGGCCGCTGAAATTCGAGCGAGGAACGCAACCCCGGCACGGTCACCCACGAAGACGCCAAGAGGATCAAAGCTGATTCTGCTCACGCACGCATCGATCGATCGGTGAGTCACGCCATCGAAGACTACAACAAGAAGCCGAGGCCCCACCCCGACCGGAAGCAAGCAAGGTCCAGATTTCAGCTACTGGGGCCGGCGGCGGTGCTGGTCCTGGTGCTCCCCCTCTCCCTCAAGACGAAGTCGGTGACCTTGCTCTCACCCCGTGTCCCCCGGACGAAGCCGTCGGAGTCTTTCCACCTCACATGTTGGCCCACGTGGCCCGAGATCGTGAACTTCTTCCCCCCCTCCCGCCACCTCAGCTCCAGCCTCTCCCACTTCCCGTCCGTCTTCCCGGGAACGTCCCAGACCACCCACTCCGCCGGGTAGCAAGCCCCGAGCAAGAACAGGGTGTTGCCGCCGTGCATGCCGCAGTGCAGGCGGTAGGCGCCCGGGGAACCGGAGTAGGAGAAGGACGAGGAAAGGTCTTCTAGTTCTTCTTGTCCTGCTTGTTCTTCTGGAGTCTCCGCTGCCGACGACGGGTAGGGGGATGGGTCTTCAAACTTGAGGCTGTAGCCCCCCAAGGCGTAGCCAAAGAACTGCACACGAGAGCAGAAAGATAGATGTACGTATGTACGCACGGCGCAAGAAAACCCTCGTGAGAAAACCGATGCAGCCCTCGGTCCGATGAGCACCACGACGCGCTAGACTAGAGATGTAAGATAAAGTTACACCATTAGACTACCGAGTCAGCTCTGACTGAGCAGTCTAATGGTGTAACTTTATCTTACAAAAGATACACTCTCGGCTCGTAGCCACCCGGCTGGTCACTGGGAATTTAGAAGTAGAGATCTCCGGGGACAGACCCCTCGCCAGGCGCTGCAGGAAAAGAACTAAGGGCGCTTGTCAAAGTGACCATCTGGGATTCGAACCCGTGCGTGTATCACTTGTTTGCAAAGGCTTACCCTGCCGGGAATTGAACCCGGGTCTCACCGGTTAGAGCGGCATATCCTAGCCATTGGACTACGAAGGAAACTTGATTGGAGAGAGACGGTGGTGGTGGTGTAGAGAGAGGGAAGAAGAAGAAGAAGGCAATATTCTACGAATTGATCCGTGTTTGGAAAGTAAATGAAGAGGAGTTCCACAGATAGGTTTGGTTAAATGGATTGTTTATTTAATGCTTTGAGTTGTGCGGAGGACATAAGTACTTTGCGGGTGTCGTTGCGNGCGCTTGTCAAAGTGACCATCTGGGATTCGAACCCGTGCGTGTATCACTTGTTTGCAAAGGCTTACCCTGCCGGGAATTGAACCCGGGTCTCACCGGTTAGAGCGGCATATCCTAGCCATTGGACTACGAAGGAAACTTGATTGGAGAGAGACGGTGGTGGTGGTGTAGAGAGAGGGAAGAAGAAGAAGAAGGCAATATTCTACGAATTGATCCGTGTTTGGAAAGTAAATGAAGAGGAGTTCCACAGATAGGTTTGGTTAAATGGATTGTTTATTTAATGCTTTGAGTTGTGCGGAGGACATAAGTACTTTGCGGGTGTCGTTGCGGCGAAGTGCTGAGAAAGGATGGACCAAAACAAGAGTGCTTTGCAGAGAAGGAATATCGGCCATGGGACAAGACGTTGTGGGTTCAGGAACATTTGCATAATCGAGTTCTTGGTTATTTGTTTGTCATGGAGGAGTAGGATCCACGTTTTGGGTCGTAAATGGAATAATATTGACTTGCCGCATCATCATTACTATGCATACGAGCAGGGGGGCTGTTAGATATACTCGTAGCATAGTAAAGATGGTTGAATATGGGACATAGATGTACGGAGATTGCAATTGGTAGACTGCGCAGGAACAGGGAGTTTCTACTTGGTTTCCTCGGAGATTCGATGAGTGATCTGAATTGCGTGACGGATGAGTGTTCTGCTTTTCTCTTCGGGTCCTCGGACACAAGTGTTCTCTACTGTCCCCTCTCCCTGACAATACAAGACTTTCTCATCTCGGCCCTCACTGGCCGAGCTGCCTTTCTCCACAAACCTACAAGCTTCGGCCTACCCGGTNTGTTCTGCTTTTCTCTTCGGGTCCTCGGACACAAGTGTTCTCTACTGTCCCCTCTCCCTGACAATACAAGACTTTCTCATCTCGGCCCTCACTGGCCGAGCTGCCTTTCTCCACAAACCTTCAAGCTTCGGCCTACCCGGTTTACCCAACATGGTCAGAGCAGGAATACCGGCTGGATCACTTTTCATCACAAAATAATAATACAGCCGCTGCTCCTGCTCTGACCATAGGGTAATCAATCCTGAGTCAAAACCTTAACAACTTGGAACCGCAATCTCACAACAAATAGCAACCAAGACAATGTATAACAATATTCGGAAATCAGCATTTATTTCGTCAGCATTGTGGATTTTTAGTCTGCAACACGGTGGTGGAGGTACCAATCAATGTTGCACGTCGCTGAGACTTCACACGTCTCTGGTACTAGCATACACAACCAAGACACGGAAAGTTTTTGATCAGGTTAGAGCTGCTTCCCAAAGAGAGTCCAGAAAAAACGTTGATCACGCATTTTTGATCAGGCTAAACCTACTGCTCAAAAAGTAGCTACCAACACGAGCCCAGATAAAACGTTGATCACGCTATTGCCGAGATGAGAAAGAAGTATTGTATTAGCAGGGAGAGGGGACAGCAGAGAACACTCGTCCGTCACCCAATTCAGATCACTCATCGAATCTCTGAAGAAACCAAGTAGAAACTCCCTGTTCCTCCGCAATCTACCGATTGCAATCTCCGTAGATCCATGTCCCATATTCAACCATCTTTACTATGCTACGAGTATATCTTACAGCCCCCCTGACTAGACAGAAGTATAACCAGGATTCGAATCCCTCTGGGAGTCATCTTGACGCCTGTTTTCAGGAAAAAGAAAAAAGTCTGGGATACACACCTGAAGTCATGGTAAACATCACCAGTCGTCAAGGATGAAGACACATATCTCGCCAGGGGGGCTGTAAGATATACTCGTAGCATAGTGAAGATGGTTGAATATGGGACATGGATCTACGGAGATTGCAGTTGGTAGATTGCGGAGGAACAGGCAGTGTTTCTACTTGGTTTCTTCGGAGATTCGATGAGTGATCTGAATTGCGTGACGGACAAGTGTTCTCTGCTGTCCCCTCTCCCTGATAATACAAGACTGTCTCATCTCGGCCCTCACTGGCCGAGCTGCCTTTCTCCACAAACCTACAAGCTTCGGCCTACCCGGTTTATCCAACANTCAGATCACTCATCGAATCTCCGAGAAAACCAAGTAGAAACTCCCTGTTCCTCCGCAATCTACCAATTGCAATCTCTGTAGATCCATGTCCCATATCCAACCATCTTTACTATGCTACGAGCATATCTAACAAGAGAGTTCTCTCCCCCGCCAACGTTCTCCGAGAGCGGCTGCAGTGGGGAGGGTGTAATCATAGTCGTGCATGCCGTAGTCGTTAGACCATTGACCTCGCATCCCTACAAAGCCGGGACGGAGCACGCCGGGTTCTCACCGGACCAGGCTCTCACATCACCAAGCGCGAAGTGCCGTGAGGCATTCGGCGAGTCGCATGAAGGGTGCACTGCATCCTGCTAAGGGTGTTCGGCATCTTGTGCTTACTTCCTTGC